ACATCTTCACCAGGAGCTGATTCCATCTCAAGGAACCACTTCCTTTGCAGCTCCTCCTCCATTTACGTCTCATAAGATTGCAGCAGTTCAGTCACATCTGTTTTTCAGTCTCCACTTCTGATTCTGGTTCTCTTGCTGTTTCCACCGCATCTGCAGTTACTTCCTCTGCTGAAGTCTTGAACCCCTCAAAGTTATCCACGAGGGTTGGACTCAACTTCTCCCTAACTGCCTTAATCATGAATGTTCTTAATGGCACCTGGGATGGTGAATCCTTTCCAGAAGGTTTTCAGTTGATTTTGCCCAGATCCACTGTGGAATTACTGTCTATGGCAGCTGTAGCCTTACTAACATATTTCTTAAATCAGAAGCCTCAGACATCAGAATGACTCCTTGATCCATGGCCTATGGGATAGAGGTTTGTTAAAGGCGTGAAAATAATATGAATCTCATTGTACATCTCCATCAGAGCTCTTGGTGACCAGGTGTGCCCTTAATGAGCAGTAATATTTTCAAAGGAATCTTTCTTGCAGAAAGTCTCAACAGTGGGCTTAAAAGAGTCAGGAAACCATACTAAACAGATATACTATCATCTAGGCTTTGTTGTTCCACTTATAGAGCACAGACAGAGTAGATTTAGCCTGGTTCTCAAGGGTCTTAGCATTTTGGGGAGGGTAAATGAGCACTGGCTTCAACTTAAGGTCCCCAGCTGCATTAGCCCCCAGCAAGAGAGTCAGCCTGTCCTTTGAAGCTTTGAAGCCAGACCATGACTTCTCCTCTCTAGCTGTGAAAGTCCTCGATGGCATCTTTTTCCAATAGAAGCACTACTCCCTGGAGTACCACTAAACTTCCTTCAAGAACTTTTCCTTTGCATTTACAACTTGGCTAACTGTTCGATGCAAGAGGCCCAGCCTTTGGCCTGCCTGAGCTTTCCATATGCCTCCCTCGCTAAGCTTAGTCATTTCAAGCTTTTGATTTAAAGTGAGGGACGTGTGACTCTTCCTTTCAGCTGAACACTTAGAAGCCATTGTAGGGTAATTAATGGACCTAATTTCAATATTGCTGTGTCTCAGGTAGTGAGGCCCAAGGAGGAGGAGAGAGGTGACGGAATGGTGGGGCAGTGGAGCAGTCAGAACACACACAACGTTTATCAGTTAAATTTGCCATCTTACATGTGGGCGGTTCAAGGTACCCTCAGACGATTATAATAGTAACATCAAAGATCGTAGTCAGAGATCACCCTAACAGACATAGTAATAACGAGAAAGATTGAAATATTGTGAGAATTACGAGAATATGACACAGAGACACAAAGTGATCCAGTGCTTTTGGGAAAATGTCACTGATAGACTTGCCACAAACTTTCAGTGTGTCCAAAAAAAAAGCAGTATCTGTGAAGCACAATAAAGCAAGGTGTGTTCGTATGTCCAGCCCACATTTAAGGGGTAAAGAGTTATGCTCCACCTCCTTGAGGGCAGCGTATCTGCATAAATTATTTGGAATTCTTTTGTATGGAAGATTTATGCAGTCTCCCGACTTATTTATTTATTCAGTCATTTATTTACATCAGTGTGGAGTCATGGATATTTACTTTACACTTTGAGTTATAATCCAGTACTACTTTATTTATTTTGTTACTCAGATTGTTCCAGCGCTGGCCTTTGGGAACTCTCAGTTGGCTCCTGTGTTTATTTGACATATTCCTGATTGTCTTTTGAGCACTTCCTTACTTTCTGGCACGAGAAGATGCTTCAGACCCACCTTATATATTTCCAACTCCAACCCTAGAATCAGACATTTTTCCAAGGAGCCCTGGTTCATTTAACTGGAGAATGTATTTGAAACCGTGATCTGGGCTCTGGGTAGACACTAACACTTTTTAATTAAAATTTGGATTCATTTTAAAAAGCCACAAAAAAACAAAGAATAATATACATTTCTACTACCTAAAATGAACAAATCATTCCCCTTTATTTTGCTTTTTAATAAATTAAACATTTGTAAAATTGAAGGCCATTTTTCCCTTTCCCAAACCTAAAACCTTTTCCCAGAAGCAACCACAATCTTAAGTTGATTATGTAGTAGTTTTTTTCCAGCATGCATGAAATATTTACAGAAACAGCTATGTATTAAGAAAAGACTGGCAAAATCCCCAACAAACAAAAGAGCTGCATGCAAAAGAATGAAATTAAAATATTTTCTCAAATCACATACAGAATTAAACTGAATATAGATTAAAGACCTAAATGTAAGACCGAAAACCATAAAATTCCTAGAAGAAAAGATGGGCAGAACACTCTTTGATATAAACCATAGCAGTATATTTTGGATGTATCTCCTAAAGTGAAGGAGGGAAAAGCACAAAAGTAAACAAACATGACCTAATTAAACTTAAAAGTTTTTTCATAACAAAGGAAACCATCAACAAAACAAAAAAACAACCTATTGAATGGGGAAAAATACTTACAAATGATATGACCAATAAGGGGTTAATCCGAAATATATAAATAGCCCATTTAACTCAACATCAAAAAAAAACCAAAACCCAAAACCAATAGCCTGATTAAAAAATGGGCAACAGACCTGAATAGACATTTTCCAAAGAAGACATACGAATGGCCAGGCACTGAAAAGATGCTCAACATCATTAATCATCAGAAAAATGCAAATAAAAGCCACAGTGAGGTACCAACTCATGTCAGAATGGCTGTCATCAAAAAGAACGCAAATTACAAATGTTGGTGAGGATGTGGAGAAAAAGGAACCCTCGTACACTGCTGGTTGGAAAGTAAGTCTGTGCAGCCACTGGAAAACAGTATGGAGTTCCTCAGAAAAACTAAAAATAGAACCACCATATGACCCAGCAATTCCTCTCCCAATTATGTATCTGAAAAAACACAAACACTAATTTGAAAAGATACATGCACCTACGAATGAAAAATACTGCTTGCCGTATCAGTAAACAAAGGATGCTGTGGCCATCAAGCCACTATGGCTGCCCCTGACAGTGAGCTGGAGGGAACTTAGGATGGAGACAAGTGGGCAACCCAGCCTCTTCCACCCCCCCCCCGTAGCACTGCACCCTGAGGAACCTCAGGATGTGAAAGAACAGGATACTGGCCCTAGATAGCTGGGTACATATCAAAGAAGTGATTTCAGTGAGCCTAGACTTTGCACCTTTCTGTACATAGAAAAGCACTAAATTTCTTAACTTGAGATATCTGGTTTTCTTTAATTAACAGTAATCTTTTGATGTTCCAGCTACCTGGTCTTTGTTGCATAAACTCTTGTATACTGTGGCTCCTCCCCTGCCTCTTTGGAGCTTTCTGAGAGGCTGTATTCTGGGCTTAAGTCCTCAGAAATGTCCACCGAATAAAACTAACTCTCAACTTTTAGGTTGTGCATTTTTTAGTCAACATTCCTGATGTTTATAACAGCATTAATTATAGTAGCCAAGATATGGAGGCAACTTATGTGTCCATCAACAGAAGAATGGATACAAAGGATGTGGTATACAGGTACAATGGAATCCTACTCAGCCTTGAAAAATAGAAATGTTGCCATTTGCATCAACAGGGATGGATTTGGAGGGTGTTATGCCTAGTGAAATAAGTCAGACAGAAAAAGACAGATACCGTTTTATATCACTTATATGTGGAATCCAAAAAAATAATCAAACTAATGAATATGACAAAAAAAAAAGAAACAGACAGATATAGAGAACAAACTAGTGGTTACTAGTAGGGGGAGGGAAGGGGGGGCAAGATAAAGGTTGGGGATTAACTGACACAAACTACTATGTATATAATGAACGAGCCACAAGGATGTATTGTACAGCACAGGGAATCTAACCAATGTTTTACAGTAAGTACACATGGAGTATAACCTTAGAAAACTGTGGACCACTATGTTGTACACCTGAACTTATGTAAGACTATGAATCAACTGTATACCTCAATTTAAAAAAAAGAAAAGACTGGCTTTTGTTTTGGCTGAGTTGCCCACATTCCTGGGCTGTTCTAGTTGATAAGTGTGTCTCTGCCCTAAGCCATTTGTCTACACACTCAGTTCCCCACCTTGCTGCAGTTGATGTCCATCTGTCTCTTTTTCATGAGGTGATGTCATCCTGTTATTGGTTCCAGCCACTCTCTCTTTTCTAGTCTGTTTCTTGATATCTCATCCCAGTTTGCTGCTTTGTTGGCAGCTTCTGGTGTTCCTTCTTGTTGGAAGAAGACCAATAACTTGATACTCTAGATTTTTTTCTTCTTTTTGTTGGGGGTGGGGAATTTGGTTGGTTTGTTTAATGGAGGTACTAGGGATTGAACCCAGATCTCATCTCATGCATCACTACCACTGAGCTACACTCTCCCCACACCGCCCGGTTATTGTAGATTTCGTGAAAGCAAATTGTAAACTGAAATGTGCTGAACAAATATATCATTTTACTGTTTTAGTCACAGTGCCCCCAAAAATGGGACCAGGGGCATATCCTTCATTTGTTTGGAGTACTTGGCTCTTCATCGGCATTTTTTTTCTTTCTTTTTTTTTTTTTTTTTTTTTTTTTTAGCTTAATGACGTTACCAATTTCTTCTAGTTATTTTCTGAGTTGTACTTCTGGAAGGTTGAGGCTGCCAGATTTAAGACCATCTGATACCTAGAAATCAGGATAGTTAATTTAATGGTTCTTCATTTTTATTTTTCTTACAAATACTGCTCTTCAAGATATAACAGCAGTGTGCAAAGCAGAGGAAGAGTTTACCATGGAAAAGGTTGCTCATGAACCTAACCATTTCTCCAGCAGTGACTTAAAATGAAAGACTAATTGTGTTCATTAGGAAGGGAAAGGCTTTAGCTGGAATCTCCATTCAGTGAATGTGTTGCTGTGTGGGCAGTTCAATTAATAAAATTCTGGGTCCATAACACCTTATCTGCTTCACTAAGGTAAGTAGAAATTTGGCTTTCCCACCCCATTAACAGTAAGCCTCTCTAATTTCTCCTCACAGCTTACAGTTACTTTGACAAAGGCAAATTTGGAAGCAGTTCCTCGAGGACAGTTTGGATAACACCTGGATAATCAAAACAGGCACCATGAAGCACTTCCTACGGTGAGTGTTTATGGTTTCCTGGAGGAGCCCTCTAAAACGGAGAAACTTCCTTAACAGTTAGTATAATATCTGTGTTCACCATTGGTGAGCCTATAACCGGGTCTCAGGATTGCATAAAATAGCATTGTATTTTGGCTAAGAATAATTTGGCCATCGTGTTCCTCTGTAACTCTATACGCATACTGATGCCAAGAGACAGCATCATGTAAGGAGGGGATTTTAAAAGATTATACAGGAATATGGGCACAAAAGCACGGGGCAGGCGTACTTTGATGACCTGTGTTTCTAAAGCCCTAAGGCTGAGGTTTGGGGAATTTGTTGTCAGGGAATCAGTGTAGTTTGTGTAGAATCATTTTCCTAAAATTGATCTATATTTAAATATAGATTTTGGTTGGCTGACCAATCCACAGAGGCATTTTCAAATGTTCCTTTTTTGGTGAAAAATACATGCTCTAAGCTTTTGCTCTTCCCGCTTCAGTGGTGCCTCCGAAACCTGTATTAATTTTTGGTTCTCTGACGATTGTGCTGGATAAACTACTGTTTATGTTTGTGCGTTTACAGTGACGTTGTCTTGTCTTGAAAGCCATTTAGCTGGATCTATAATCAGAATTATTTTCAAGAGTATTGTCTGTCATACACAACTCTATAAATGAATTCTTAGAGGAATTTTATAGTATATTAATATATGACAAAATGAAGTTAAGTTGGTTCTGAAAGTTAGGAAATAAACACATTTTCCAGATATTTGGGGGTTTTTCCTTGATCCAATCTACATTTATTTTACTAAAGAAAACACAAATTGAGCTGTATGACAAATGCTGACTACCAGCATTCCTTTAAATGTTTGCAATTGTCCTTTAAAAATGTCCGAGTAGTCTTGTGAAAGATAGAAATACTAATGGCATTAATAACACAAAAATAGTACAGGTTTAAAATAAATTCACTTAGCACAGTTAAATTCATATAGAGTATCCAGAATAGTTAAACAGTTTTGATAGCTAAAAAATCTAGAATCTGTATTCTACAGAAATAACTCTAAAATATTTGATGAGCATGTTTTAATAGAAATTCTTTATTGATCAGATGAACAGGTGAATTATCATGGTAGATTTTTTTTTTCCTTGATACTCAAAAACTTTAGTACTATTTATTTTTTCTCTAAAGAGAAAAAATATTTTATTTTTATTGGTTTTCTTTGTTTTGGGGAGGAGGTAACTAAGTTTATTCATTTACTTATTTATTTTAATGGAGGTACTGGGGATTGAACCCAGAATCTTGTGCATGCTAGGCATGCACTTTTACCACTGAGCTATACGTTCCCCCAACACTTTCCAGATACTGAGATTCTTTCCTACAAGATGGTGGCCTACCTCTATATTATATATTCTTGTACCATGTTCTGGCTATTTTCTCTAAGAAAATCATTAGTGGGCTTACTTCTTTTAGTAAATGATTTAATTCTTGCAGTGGCTGCAGTTTAAGATTTTCCTTTCCCCACTGGTTTTTCGTTGCATCGTCATTTCTGGAGCACCGAGGTCAGTTGGTGTAGGATTCACTATGTTGTGGTGTGACTACTGGTGTTTACTCAAGCTTAGAATTGTGAAAACCCTCTCAGGAGGTCACTGTTTTTAGGCATCAGCATTTGTTTTATCATACAGAAGACTCCGCAGCCTGTTTATCTCAGCTGTGTAAAAAGACAGTATTTGAAAGATCACTAGGACATTTGCCAGCAAAGTATTTGACCTGATACGTTTTCTTGGTTGCTATGGCAACTAACCTATCTGTTTACGCATTCATAAGAAATTCGTGTCTATGAATTCCCCCTTGAGTTTAAACGTGATGTTTTTTAGCTGAAGAATCATGTTAACACAGAGCTTTAGCGTTAGGTGAAGCGCTTAAGTCAGAAACTCCTTTTGTGAGAGGGGAAATGGTAGTGGTGAGGTGTACTACTGAATTTTCTTCTTCAATGTTTTGTTTTAGAAAAAACTTGAGTGGCTCAAAACCAGCCATTTTAGGAGAGATAGGAGCATTTGTTTACTTCTGTTAGTTTTTGTTAAATTGAAGAGGTGTGCAACACTGTGTTTAGTAGAGATTATATTTTTAAGTTTGTATTTGATGATTTAAAACTGATACAGTGAAAAATCTACCGCTCTACTTTCACACAGACCAGCGCCAAGGGTAATAGAACTGGCATGTCCCTGTCAGTTATGTGTCCTACAAATTTTTCTCTTTTAACTTGGCACATTTATTTTATAAATAGTACTTGACATTGATTATTTGTGTGAAACTGAAGCTAGAATAATAAATTATGCATCAAGAAAAAACTTGAGGATTTTCATTGCCCATTGGTTTTGAAATGATAAAAGGAAACTCCGTCATTGCTTCTCCTTAATTGATTATTGTTTTCAGCTTTAATTTTTGTAAATTTTTGTTTTTAATGCTTTTTAAAATTAATTTATCATGTGTGTGTTCATTATATGTTAATGTTTATGGAATTTGGAGGGATAAGAGGGCAAGGAGTAATAATCCTAAATTCCAAGCTCTGTTGGATAATTCAGATTATCTTCTGTTCCCTGGAGTCCATTCCCACACATGGTGGACAATTGGGCAATCTTTTTCATTTGAACCAAAGAGGTGGTTACATAAAATAACGTGAACAAATCAGGTGTTAATTCCTGAGCTCGGCAAATATATTATGTGGAATAAGGAGTTGACGTCCACTGAGTAGAGTCAGCATTATTCAAAAGCCCACAGAATGACTAATCTGTCAACTTCTGAGTTACTCTAGAATGAGCAGCTTCTGAGGCCAAGTGCAGCCTCAGAAGAAATGGGCTTAACCTTGAAGAAACCAGGCATGAGAAGGAATGGATTTTAATCCACATTTACGATACATGGGGGCTGTACTCTGCCCTAATTCACTGCTACTATCACATATATTAATGGTGTAAATACTCAGAGCTTAAGGGAGTGGATAAAACATTTGATGTTTGTTTAAACACAATTCCATGAGATGTTAGAAATAAATGCTACAGGAAATTGAGGGTAGATATGAGAGATTGGCTAAGTACCCCATAGTCGCCTGATACGACTTTAGCCATGATCTGCATTCAAAGAATACAAGGAATAAAACTGAGAAGAAAGTGTGTCTGTGTGTGAGCGGAAAAAGAGGGGGCACTTTTTGAGCCCTAAATAGAACTGAGGCTTAAGGTTTAGTTTGTGTAATGTATTTCATTAATTTTAATTTAATAACACTTGTACTATAGATCTTTTCCTTTTCTAGGATTTAGTGATTGAGATTATATATTGGTAAGATCATCAGAGTATTAATTTTGAATTTTTCTAATAAAGGGACAGGTATAAGTCACTCCATATAAATAATTGCTTTCAGCTGTTTCAGCCTCAGGATCTCAGTTTCTTGACCGTGAACTTCACTGCATACCTTCCTCAGGCAGAGCAGAGAAAAGGAAAGCATTTGCCAAATTCAAACCTCCACGGGAGAAACTGAGATATTGAGCAGACTTGTACCCACACCCTGGCTGTGAAACAGTTGAGGGGAAAACAGTGTTTTACTCCTATGATTAGGTAAAGATGTCCAGTTAGCAAAAAAATATCTGCAGATGGGATCTTATAAGTCATTCACACTTGATTCATCTCTTGGTCCACT